AACTTACGGCAAAGGTGTTTCCACCTTTGTCGTGGGTTGGCTTGCTTCCTCCTCTTCAATTTTCAGTTTTTCATCCTCTTTGGGACCTGATGGTGATGGTGTAGGACCTGCCCCAGCTTCTTTTCCACTTCTCAAGAGTATGGCCTTTGCACTTTCGAAGCCTCCCTTTGGGTTTGGAATGGTAGAACTAGGAAGTTGGCCTTGGTCACGAAACTTCCCTACAAAATCTGCAATCTGCCCAATTTGTTTCTCCAATTGATCCACCCGCTTGTCTTGGTTTTGCATGGCTTTGGCTTGATTCTCTTGCCCCTGAGACAAATTAGTTAGTAACTTAAGAAGTGTATCATTGTCTAGGGATGTACCTGAAGCATTTGGGGCAGATTGTTGTGGAGCATGTGTGGGTGCGTATGGCTTAGTGAAGAAACCCGGGGGTTGTTATCCAAAGCCTCCTTGTTGTGGTGGTTGTTGGGGCTCCCTCTACTTGAAGTTTGGGTGGTCTCTCCAACCTGGATTATATGTGTTAGAATATGGATCGTTCCTTGGTTGGTTTTGGCCTTGAAATCCAATTGCATTTGCGCTTTCCCATCCACCATTTTCAATTAGTTGTGGGCACTTTTCAGAAGCATGTTCTTGGATAGAACACACTCCGCATACAATTGGTCCTTGCATCCTTATTCCTTCGGCCATCTGAGACACAATGGAAGTAAGATTAGCTAATTGCGAATGAATGTCGGGTGTGGAACTTACCTCATGAATTTGCTGCCGTGGGGGTCCTCTTTGGCCTACTCCTTCGTATTGTTGAGCGTTCAACGCTCGATTAGCAATTAAGATCTTGGCAGCCATGGGTGTCTTGTCCACCAATGCTCCACTCGCCGAGGCATCGAGCATTTGACGTTCAATTGGTAGGAGCCCCTCGTAGAAGTATTGTAGAAGTAACTCATCCTTCATCTGATGCTGTGGGCAAGAAGCAACAAGTGATTTAAAACGTTCATAATATGTAGGAAAAGACTCACCTTCATCTTGCTGAATTCCACTTATCCTTTTACATAGAAGGATGATTCGAGAAGTTGGGAAAAACTTCTCCAGAAATGCCCTCTTCATACTCTCCCATGATGTGACGGTTCCGGGAGCTAATTCATACAACCAATCTTTGGCTTTGTCCATTAAAGAGAATGGAAAAGCCTTCATCTTCAAAATACTTCCATCGACGTTGACAGAAGTCATGCTTGAACACACCACTTCGAATTCTTTCAGATGCTTGTTTGGATCCTCCATGGACAACCTATGGTATTTTGGAATGTGGTGGAGCAAACTTGACTTCAACTCGAACTCTTCAGTCTTACCTTGGGCAGGCGTTGGATATTGGATACACAAAGGTGCGGCATTATCCAATCCCGAAGCAGAAAGCTCCCTGAGTGTCCGGTTATCCACGGCCATGCCTTGTGTTTCTTCAAAAATCTGATCCGTAGCCTCTTCTTCCTCTTCTAGGACTTGTTCTTCAAGGTCAGGTTTTGGGCTTGGTGGATTTGATTCGTGTTGATTCCTCTTTCGTCTCAAAGTCTTCTCGAAATCGCTGTCAAAGTCCAAGATATGCTCACGAATCGGTTGAGAACTCCGAGTCATAAACTAGTACCTAAAACAAAAAAAACAAAACAAGGTCAGAAACTTTAACAAAATAAAATAAACAGAAAGTAAACAATCCAAGGGATTAGCAAAGTTGCTAATCCCCGGCAACGGCGCCAAAAATTTGATGCGAAATATATAAGCACACAAATTAAAACCCTTTTTTGACAATTGTAGTATATGTATAAGTAGGGATCGTTCTAAACCGGGGATTAGAAGGGATTGCTAAATCACTTGAAAACTGACTCAAAAATGTAAAATGAAGGTTAAAACACTAAACTAGACTCAAAGAATGCAAAACTAAACACTAAAACACTAAAACAAACCAAAAGACTCAAAACAGCAACAAAACACTCAAAACTGCCTTAAAAACACAATATGGGCAGTTTTGAACACCTAACACTAATTTGGACGAATTTGGGTTATAACTTGAATCAAAACACTTAGAAACACAAACTAAGACACTTTCTAACTAAATTGAAACACTAAAGTAAAGGGGGATTTAGTTTTGACGAAATTAAAACAAAGAAAATAGATTGTAATGAAAAAAGATTGTAAAAAACGAATTTGATGAAAATATGGATGGAATGCTAGCTAGAAGGTTCTTCTCCACACATGTCACACTTGCATACAAGATGATTTTCAGTTGGTCTTTCGATGAATCATGAAACTCAACACCCCGGGTTAATTAGGTTCGCTTAAATTAACCTTCAAGCTCTCCTTAAGTTAATGAATTGGATGGGAAAGCGCATACAACAATTCAAAACATTCTCCAAAAGTCCTTTACGTGAAAAGCACAATAAAGATACAATCAAAGATCATTAAACAACATGAAAACTATAAGTGTTGACGAGGCATTCGTTACTATGATGAGCATGAAACTAGTGCCAAGAATTCATTTAACGCAATCGTTTATAAGCGACCTCCACTACTTGTGAATATAAGTTTGTAACTATTAGGTGAAACTCCCTTATATTCTAGCATCATATTCATGCATGAAAACTAAGCGTGCACTCTTAATAAACATACACAAATAAGTTATCAATCAAGCAGTTAAACAAATTGAATCCACAACTCATGAAATTCCAACTGAAGATAATCAATTTATATTGCAAGCATATACATGGTTTTGAATCACCCCCTAGCTAACTAGGGGTTTAGCCTCTCATGTTCACAGAAAGAGAAACAAAATTGAAATTAAACATAGAGAACAAAAGATTGATTACACCTAGAACGCCCAACGATTCCACTTTGAATTTCTGCATGTTCAAGCTCCTCTTTCTTCTTCTCCTTGCTGCGGCACAGAGGTCTCAGGGTGATTTTGGATGTGATTTTGGTTTAGGAAGGGATTTAGGATGGTAAAGGGTTGCGACAGAGAGGTGGAAGGTGGCTGCAATGGTGTGTAAGTGTATGGAGGTGTAGAATGGTGGCTGGAATGGATGGAAGGTTGCGGATTGAAGGTGGAAGAATGATGGTGGCTGCGGCAATGTATAGAATGATGAAAGAATCCTCCTAGGGTGCGGCTTAAGTCCAAGTATTAAAAGGGTTTTCAGAAATTAAAACCCTAACTTATTTTGGTTAACTAAAATTAAGTCAAAGGCTTCTAGAATTAGGAAATCAAATCAGAAACTAAAAGGAAATTGGCTAAAATATGCGGCTAGGGTTTTATTTGAAAGGGGAATGTGTTTAAGTGCAGAAAATAGGAAATAAGGACCCCCCTTGCATGGCAAGCGAAAAGGAAAGGTTAAGAGGTGCGGCTTAATGCTTTAGGAAAGGTGAAGTGTCCTAAAACTGAAGGGAAAAGGGGTCCCTTGCACGGCAAGGGATGGGGAGAAAGGGAAAGGTGCGGCAAAGGTCCCTAAGGGGTCTAGGGCCTTTGTTTTGTGTCCTAAAGTGCATACGAGGCCTTCAAAGTGGCTGGAAAATAAGGACTTTTAAGATTAGGAAAGGTTACCAAAATGGGAAACCTTGGCTTAACTTTCCTACTTCAAGTAGGAATCCTTGTTGGAGTAGGAATCCTTGTGTGAGTAGGAATCCATCTTCAATTAGGAATTCATATTTCTTCAAGTCTTCAACTCATTCATTCCTCTTTTGCTCCAAAACCAATTTGCATCTTCTTGCACACTTTGGCTTTATAATCTGAAAACACACAAAAGTGACTTTAAACACTAAAATAACTAAGGAAACACAACATAAATGCACAAGAACAAGCCAATTAAGTCGCATAAATATGCTCCTATCATTGATGTATAGGAGAGCTAGAAATTCTTCTTGCCAACCAAAAACGCTTACAAGTATCGCTTTGCAGAAAATACTTCAATCATAAAAGCTTTTTTGGAGAAAAATCAATTCCGAGTAATTATTCATAGGAATGCACCTAAATTTAAAAAGAAAATATTCAACAGGTCATAATAAAATAAAAACACTTTACAGTAACTACAAATATGGTATATATAGTTGCCATTGGAATTTTCAATAGGGTGTGCTACTGAGTACCAATTCCTATTTTGAAGTTTCATCAACTCATGCCAATTTCTAAATCAAATTAATTTTGAAAAATCAAACTTGAGGGAGTTGTAGTATGGCTTCAACTATGCCAAAATAATAAAAAAAATCCCATTTCCATTGCTCTTCTACAATATATACTCTTAATAGTATTTTTTTTTTGTTTTTATTAACTACCTACAAATTGATTTCAACATTTTTAAACATTTTAAACAAGTACTCAATCTTTTGAAAATGTCTCATCCGTTACGTCCTTGTTATTTTTTTTGTCAAATGTATATGTGGCAACAATGGATTCCACTTATTTGCTTACTTGGACACTAAAATAATGATAAACCAACTTCAAGAAAGACAGAGAGGATGAAAAAATAAAAATAAATAAATAAATTCACCAATAAACTGGAAAACAAAAATGAAGATTGAGAAATCACCTAACAAAAAAGAGAAACAAGAATGTAGATAGGGTTTCAAAGAGCTTGTTCATGCTCAAGTGGTTTTGTCATTCACCGATTTTGGACTAGTAAGGCTTCGAGTTCTTTGTGCTTCATCAAACTGCATCACATCCAGGAATGCCCAAAGACGAAGAACTATGCAAAGAATGCTCAACCAAGTCCGAGGAATACAAAGCATAAGCACACCTACACATAAAGAATGATGCTGATGACAAATCTGGTAGCTATTTAACAAATTAGAACATATCTAAAATCAGTAAGTACATAATTAAGTGTACGTATGTACTGGAGTTAGGCAATTCCTATTCAATTCTTTGAAAATCGATTGGAATAAAATATTCCTATCCAAGTTGCACCCCTCGGTTTGAGTGCTTATGCAAGTCCACGAACAAAATAAAAGTAAGGTGGAAGAAAACAAAATTAAAAAACAAATTCCGAATGATTAAAGATCATGGTAGAAAGAAGGAGAAGCTTTCTCGGACTTGCTACAAGAAAAATACCAGACGAGATTCTGAATGTTACAAGAGCCACCCCACCCCCAAATTTATAAATTTATACACCCAAACTCAAATACCAAATTTATTCAACTTCCTTATTTTCTTCCCTTTATTTTTCTCTTGATATACAAATGCCATCATGTCCACTTGAACTCGTATCCAAATCCCTTTCCTTTGTTGGTACTTCGGTATATTTCCTCCCCTAGTCCTACGCATTCAGTCCTTCAAAGTGACGAAGATTGAGCTTTAAACTGTTCGTAATTGCTCTTCGCACGCTGGATCTCCTTCTGAAGGTCTACATACGCCTTTACAGACGACTCTGCAAAGTTGTCCAACTTACCGATAAATCCCGCCAAGCTTGTTTGGAAATGGTCGAAACCAGAAACCCCGTCTTGCGAAACTTCATCTCTTAACATATTAGCAGCAGAATCACTACCGTTCTCATGCTTCCAGGATGTTAAATCAGATTGGCCTGCATCTTTCCCCTCTTTCTTTTCTTGCCGTGGTAGAAAACGGGAAGTTTCAGATGCTAAAGTCTTTATAGAATCTTCCACTTCTTTGGCAGGTAACCCGCCAAGCTTTTCCAACCAGACATCACAGGTGACATATATTGGAGGGCCATACTTCCTAAAGTCAGTTTCCTGCTGCCTCCTTTTCTTTTTGGAAGCCTTCTGTGGAAAAGTGACGCATTTTAAAAGCCATCCATCTATAGACTGCACATAGGACTTTTGAGCACCAATCCACTTTGTAAAACTCGATGATAGAGAGCTGAGCTCGTCTTTAAGATGGATAGTAATCTGACGACGTGATTCTGACTGTACAGAGATTTTGGTGTTGCTGTTGTTGTAAGCTATTGAGATTATGTGAAACTGAAGCTTGTGACATTCAAGCATCACCTCCCACATCCGCCTTAACCTAAAATTTGGTGCAAAGAACAAAGCAAATGAGCCTCAAAGTGAAGCACTCATAAATCATAATATTCACATCGGGGCAACACATTTACATATAGGATTAAGACAAAACTTAAACATTTATTATTTCCTTGTTCTACATTCCATCGTTGCCTAAAACATATATGCATCACCTTGTTTTTAGCAACCCTTTTCAAGGTTCCACCACAACTCATACTGGTTATTACGAACAACCATAAAAAATAGAGAAAAATAAACGCAGAAATACACAAAGCTTTTTTTTTCTGCATCTAGGCATGGTACCACATTTCAAACTTTATTGGTTTCCAAAATTGAGTTTCTAGGACGAATAATTAAGCACTAGCAAATAGGAACATGCAAATACATACCCTTCAATCAACTCTTCGAGTTGAGGCTGGAGCTCTTTGTCTCGTAATTCCTCAATCCTCTTCGATATTGAGTCAATTCTGTGAATAGCCACTCTGATTCTAGAATGTAGATCCTTGACAACAGCACGAGTTTTATCAATTTTTTGAGAACTTTCTCCTTTTGATTCTAGTTCCCTTAGAATCTTACACTTCAAGTCATAATCCCTTCTAACCATCTCACTGGTCTGGAAATAAGAATTTGAATAAGTTCATACAAAACATGGCAAGACCCATATACTCTGCATATAAAACTCAATCAACCAAGGAAATCTACAAAAATATATACTTTTTAGTTTCAGCCATAATATATCTGAAATTTCTGATATATTCAACAGTTGGAAGTCAATTTAAACTGGACCTAATGGTATTTAGTGCTCACTTGGTTTTTAAATTATAATAAAGTGAAGATTCCAGCCCAAAGTATGAAAAGGTAGAGACTGGCATGTCGGCAGTAGACATATTTTAAGTAGATGTCGATCTATAAAGCATCGAGAAAACAAACACAATGGTGAAGCCCCAAAATTGAGCATAGTTTCTACAACAGTATCAAGCTGCTAGAATACAAGTCACCATTTTTACACAATAATGCTTCTATGATATTAAAATGCTGTTATTGTCTCTATCCAATTCCTCCCAAACGGTTGAACATAACCATACGTAAGGATAGGGTTAAATAAAAATAGCCGCCATAATGTAGTTTAAATTAACAAGTTTGTTTAATTATTTCCGGTAATAAAATTTCTATAGAGCAAAGTGTATATTTACTGTTCATTTGGAGAAAAACAAATAGCGAAATGTCAAACTATTAACCAAGAAGCCATAACTGCTGCTAATTTATCAACAGTACCTTGACTTCATCATAAAGCTTCCTCTCCCAAGCATATAACCTATCCAAGGTTGAGGCATGACTGCCTGAATTCATGCAGAAGTTGTCAAAGAGGTTACCAGTATGATCATCAGTATCATCTTTTAAGTTTGCTCCCAAAGGATTCCTCGATGAAGAGGATCGAGATGATGTTGTCCTATGCCAAGTTAGGTACTTCACAGCAGTTTCAGGAGGATCTGGTGAACGTAAAAAAAAGAATCAGATCAAAAAGCAAGGTACCAAGATCAAGACACCCTAAATGAAAAGGAAGGCCAAAATTAAAATTCAAACCCTATCATACAACGATGTGAATGAACTCTAACCACTGAACATCTGAATGGTACCTTGTGTACCTACCACGTCACTTTCAACAGTGATATATCATTATGTACATATAGATGAAATAAACATAGTGAAAAAACACAGATTCTGCTGCACTTCCTCTTCCAATTTTTTACACAGTTGTGACAAAAGAAACTAAATGAGGAATGAAAGATAAATGCATCAACATATTGATGCTAACTTATATTTTCTGCAAAATGTAAATATTGGGGGATACCCCCACAGTAAAGTTCATTGATCTGAACCATCTATTATTTAGATCCTTCCTTAGGGTCATCCCAGCAAATGTACAGTAGCACTCCAATAATAAATTTTAGCCTGAAAGTACTATTCCTAAACGCTGAAGATACTGGCTGATAAAACAAATTCTCTCACACAGAAAATCCACCTCCTCCTCAACTCTAAAAGACTAGATGCCATTAGAAATAGTATTAAGAAATTATAATGCTCCTAGTTTTATTCTTCTAAATACAACTTTCGTTCTAGCACATTGCCACACACCCGAGCTTGCTCAAACATTTCGGGAATCTAAACTTTTAACTTGCCTAAAACTTTCTTGTTATCTGAATCTTTTGGTGAGACTCTTCCCTAATGTAACTAACCATACCAGAGCAGTTTTTGGTAGTACAATTCTAGTATTCCCTGAGAAGTATAACCAACTTGTGCATAGCCCTGCCCAGTTTCTAGACTTGACCAATAAGATCAATTACAAACCTGGATAAACTAGTCATGTACATTGACATTACGTGGAATCATACCACTCAAACAGAAGTGAAATTGAAATGCTTTCACATGAAGTTGGTTAAAATTGATTTTGATCACGTAGACAAGGATTCCACATATTTCTAATTTTTAGTAGAAAAAAAATAAAAAAAATAAAAGACAGACATCAATCAGAGTGTAAACTTAGGATTACATAAAGGCATCTTTGCATCAGGTGATACAACACACTTTGAAGAAAAAGGACAGAAATCAATCCCCCTAATAACTACATGTAGGATATCAACAAAAAACATCTAACATCCGTAGTGTACAACACCATATTGATTTGAAAACAAACAGAAACCCCATAATAGCATTTTTTGCACTAGACCTGTAAGGGTTAAAAACCAATGTATCTGTCACGCATCTACTGTTAGGGATATGCCCTGAAAGTCAATCTTTAGAAGAAAATTTTCAGGATAATGTCTGAATGTTTAGTTATGTCTAATACAACAAATGGGCAAAGTCACTTATCAGGTCTAATACAACCTATGCTTCTTGAAGGGAATTTGCATCACTATAGCTTTGATATATATATGCTTCCGTTACTCATGTATGAAATTCTGAATTGTATATACATGCTAGTCACCAGAAATCTCTATATTTCCCTTCATCTATGCATTTAAAATTAAAATAAAAAGCTTACAGACCAGATACAAATCCCTCTCTTTGTTCTTCAGTTTAAGTCTTTGATGCATCAAGTCTAAACCTATGCTTCTTGAAGGGGATTTGCACAACTATATCTTTGATATATATGCTTACGTTACTCATGTATGAAATTTTGAATTGTATATGCACACTAGTCAGTAGACATCCCTATATTTCCCTTCATCTATGACATAGAACATTTAAATAAAAAGATTACAGGCCAGGAGGCCTACCTTCTTGAACTTGACTTGGGTCTTCACCGCAAGAGAAACAACCCTTCAAGAATTTAGATGAAATTGATCCACCTGCTACAGTAGAAATCACAGTATTCATATCTTTCACCAACAGACTATCAAAAGAAAACAAATTTCTAATGGTCTAACATGAAATTAACTCAAAATATTTTAGAATATCCATTTCTTTTTTCAATCTTGTACGTTCCATGATTTACATTTCTTTTTTTTCAATCTTATATGTTCCATGATTAACATGCATCTTTTTTCAATCTTACATGTTCCATGATTTATATGCATCAGATTCATATAAGCAGGATATAAAAACAGGAGTGTTCATTACATCCCACAAACTGTTGATCGTAACATACCCTACTTACCGCATAAACCAGTGACACTATTCATCCTTGGATAACTAAAACGAGTGAGAGAGAGAGAGAGAGATCTTACTTTCTTTTTCCTGGAATATTGGACGAAAATGAAACTTATTTGCTTCAAGCATTCTAGGAATTTCTTTGCCAGCCTCGAAAGCTCTTATAAAGAGAACTTCAATATCCTTCATGCTTGAAAAAAAATCTTTTGGGGCAACCTTACTTTCAAAATCTTCTTTAACTGTTGTTTTAGTTGAGTCAGTTTCAACTGCAACTGGTGAGGATGTGGATCTCAATGGTGACAAATCTGGAGTGTTACTTTTCTTCCCATTCAATAACTCAGTTTCAGAAGTTACACTTCCTGCAGAAGGCATTGTAGGTGAAGCACTAGCTTCAACATGATCCTGTACTCTGTTAAGATTTTCAAAACTTCGAACCAGGGTATCTGTAGCAGGCTCATCGAATTCATCTTCAGAATCCTGAGATTCTTCCCTTCCATGAAAAGAAGCCTTCTCTTCTTCATCTTCCAGATCAGGAATTCCCTCCTCTTCCCTAAGCTGTCTCATATCATCGTTATTTTCAAACCCCTGGTTCATTCCCTTCCCTTCTTGAAAAGAAAATTGATGGTCAATTGGATGAAAAAAATCAAAGTAATCCCATGGTGGAGTTTGTGGTGGGAGTGATGAAGCTTCAAATGGTGGTGTTTGTGGTGGGAGTGACGAAGCTTCAAATGGTGATGTTTCAGGTTTTCCGGCAGATCGAGGTGTGGTATTCTGTGGGGTGCTAGAGGAGGTTAGCGTTGTAGTAAGAGGAATAGGAGGCTTTTCTTCAACCGTTTTAGAAAAGCCGCCCCTGAATTTCATATGATTTGCTTGAAATCGAGTAGAACTTGGAGGAGATGGAGATGGTGAGAACGTTTCAGCTGCGTCCATGCGTTGTGATACAGATGGAGAGGAAAAAGAGAATTGAGAAAGACTCTTGCCAGTTTGAACAAGAAGCTCTGGGGTTGCACTAGTGGAAGTGTACAAGGAAGACTCAACGGGAGCCCCAAGATCGACAAATATCTTAAGAGCTGTTCCAGTATTCTTTAGCGATTGAATGTACATAAAATGAGCCGCTGCAAGCGAGCACCTGCCGTCAAGTGCCAGTTTAACAAACTTCTTCCGTTCTCGACATAGCTGCAGGGCCTTATCCTCTTCTATTGTAGAGTTTGAGGCTCCCATATCTGCAAATTTGGCCTAATATCCCTCAAATTACATATCAGAAAATGAGATTCTTCCTGAAACTGAATTTAATCGACATGCTAGACAATGAGAAGAAAGTGCACTGGGAAATATATATCCTTTCGTAGCAGGAGCACACGTTAAATTAGAAATAATAAACAAAATATTTAGAAACAGATCGAAAACACAAGAAAATCAAAATTACAAGCCAGGAAAGCAAAAAGAAAATTCAACAAGGGAACCCCAATGAAATGAACAGAAACAGATGTCAGAGATAAGCTGAAGAAATCAACAGAATCCAGTAGAAATTTACAAAATCTTATCAGGGATCAAATGACAAAAACTAATTAACCTGTGTAAAGCAAAGCAAAGAAGAGAATTGTTCCAAGTAAGCAAGTCACTGACCCTGCTTGTTTGCTTCTTGTTTATCTCAAAATTTTGTGATTCAAGGGCCCTGATTGATCCCTGGAAGTTTGTAATTCAAGGACTCTGCAATTGAACAACACACAGACAGACGCGCAGATTACAATATATAAACACCAAACGAAGGAACCCCAATCTCAACCACACCAATCAACCAACAATCAAAGAATTTAGAGAGAGAGAGAGAGATAGAGAGAGGGATTGGGTGTACCTGAGAGAGAGAACTTGATCCAAGGTGATGGCCTGGACTTCAGAGTACAAGAGAGAGACCGACCAGAGACGTATGATGGCAGCACCGTCTCTTCGTGTGTATGTATATAGATTTATTATTATTATTATTAAAAGGGCCTAGAATAAAATTAAAAAAATTGTAAATTAATACCAAGCTCGTATTTTCCACGCATGTACTGATTTCGATTCGCAGCGGTAGGGAATCATGTGGCCACACATATTTAAAATGCCACAAAGTCTTTCTGCCTTCTGAAAGAATTGGCTGATGTGGTGAAGCCACACTTTTACAAGAAAAATAAAAGGAAAGAGAAAATAATAAATAAAAAGATAAATAAAAGGGTTTGTGAAAAGGAGGAAAGGAGACGAGAGGAATCTGATGGCGATTGGGAGTAAAAAAGGACAGAGATGAGTGCGGAGGACTGCCGTGGACCCCACTCTTCCGCCTGCTTGCCCCTTTCTTTCCTTAAATCGATCCAATCTACTTACTCTGTCCGACTCTCAATTGTCTTTTCATTCCTTCATTCATTCTTTCTTTCTTTCTTTCTTTCTTTTTTTTTTTCTATATAAAAGTTAAATAATAAATAACATACCTTCCTATTTCCTAAAATTCCTATATGGAAAGATATTATGATGATGATGATGATGATGTTGACGAGGACGATGATGACGACGATGATGATAATGTTGATGATGATGCGTGAAACCTAAGCTGCAAGAGTAGTGCAACTGTTGTTAGCAAACACAGTAAAAAATTGTAAAGTATGAGTAATGTTACACTTATTATCTACTTGTATACAATCTCTTTAATAAAGACAGAGTCCGCCAATGTATGTGGATCTCATTGCTATTAGAGAGATGGTATAAATAATGATACAAATAAATGGTACAAATAACATTTTTGGTATACAGGTGAAATTTCCTCTCACTACTTCACTTCCTTACATAATCACTTCTTTTTCCTCTCTCTCTCTCTCTCTCTCTCTCTCTCTCTGAAGAATCTATTTTTCAAGTTATATCTTACAGATCATCTTTGCAAAATATTAGTCAAATCAAAAATATTTGAAGCATCTAATTGAGTTCAAAAAAATTGACGAACACTATGTTATAAGCAACATTAAAATTTTATCATGATATTTGAATGAGCAAATGGTTTCAGGATGAATTGTTTTATTGCAAGGGCAATCTATGAATACAAACTAAAAAATAGATGGTTTAAATCGTTCAAATGCAATATTGTGTTAGTCCCACATTTAAATCCCATTTTTTTCCATTATAAAAAAATTAGAGATCATTTCCCTTAAAGGACTCTATGCATATATATACACTAAGCAGACAATGTCTTGAGAGAAAATGAAACCTTTCAAAAGTTGACATTGACGAAGTCATCAACTTGCTCGATATTGATTCAACGACCCAATGAACTATTATGATCAATTAATGAATTAGAACTTCCCTCGATACTCCCTTTTAATGATGGCATTTATGGTTAGTCTCAAGGCTTCTGCAAGACATGAGTTCCTAGTCGTACGTCATTACTACCAAAACTAAGTAAAAATGCAGAGAACTGAATTAATTTTAATTATAATACAATACAATCATTTTTTAAAGGGTAATGCTATTCACACACTCATTTTTACTTCTCTCACACACCTCTCAATTTTCGGTTGTCGATTTGAATGAATTGAAGAAGATCAATAACAAAAATTTAACATGGGTGTGAGAAATAAAAATGAATATGTAAATAACACTATCATTTCTAAATCAATACTCTTAATCACCTTACTAAGCTATGAGGAAGAATTTATGCTACAACCCCAATATAATTTATGGTTAGAAATGTCTTCCGTTAAAAAATTTAAGCCCAGCATGGCGCACCAAAAACATCACTTATAGTGTTCTCACTTAACCACCTACTGCTGAGTGTACGGTTTTACAACATAAGATCTCGATGATATTAGAAGTGCAATCTCCATATAAATTCTATATTATTTTGTTATTTTGGATATAGGACTCTATTATCCAACATTCCTAAAATCTTATTTGTTACTTCAATCGAGTATCTCGTAGTATCTTCCTTCTCTTATTAGCAAAGGTTAGAAACTCTCTTATCAACACTAATATGTCTATATTTACATAAATTGAGGACCCCATCCAGGAATAGATCAAACACTATATTGAAAGTGATCATGTTGCATTATCTAATGATTAAAGATATACGCGAAAGATAATTATGGTGTCTCTAGGACAAATTTGCTTTATTGCATTTTAAGGGTCCATTTGGTAATGTTTTATAAAAAAATTTTTGAAGAACGATTTTGTAAGACGAAAACAACAAATAGGAATTTTTTTTTTCTTTCATTTTTATGATTTGAGAATGTGTCTGGTAATTTAATTTGAGAATGATGTTTTAGAATGACAACATTGAAAACACGTTTGGTACCAATATCTAAAATGTCAAAAAAAAAAAAAAAGGAGTTTTAAGAAAAAGTCCGCGGTACTGTTCACTTTAACGAAAAACCATATTTTTACAATTAAAAGTCAATCCTGGTACTATTCACTTTACCCTTTATTTTGTCCTTATCGTTAAAACTCAAAGTTTTCAAGCCATTTTCATTAGTTTACCTTAAAAAAAAATACAAATTTGTATTTGGTAGTAATGATGGTGATGGTTAAGATGAGTATTGTGTGGGGAGTAATGGTGATTGGAGTGGTGGTAGTAGTGGTGGGTATAGGTGATTGCAATAGCAAGTAGGGGCAATGGTTGAGTGGTGGTGCTAGTGGTGGCGGTGACAACAATGGCGATGACAGCAGTGGCTGCGGTGGAGGCAGATGATGGTTATATATTAACAATGTTTGTGACGGATGGTTGTGAAAATGGTGGTTGAGAGTGGCTAGGATGATGGTGACATAGATGGTGCTGGTGGTGTTGGCCATGGTGAGGGTAATGGGGTAGAGAATGTGGTGATGGTGGTGGTAACTATGGTGGTCAGAGTTGGTGATGGTGGTAGCTGCAGTGGTGTACGGTGGAGGTGGTGATGGCCATTGTGGTGGGCGTGATGGCAGTGGTGTCGGTTATGGCGATCGTATGATAGTGGAGGTGGTGGTGACCGTGGTGGCAAGGGTAATGGCAGTTGAGGATATGGTGGTGCTATTGGCGAGGTTATGGGAGTAGTGACATACGTGATTTTATTTTGGGTAAAGTACAAAAAACTACCTCAACTATTGGTCTCACGACACTTTCATACCTCATCTTTTTAAAATGACAATGTCATACCTCATCTTACGAATTTGTGCCAATGTTATACTTCCGTCAATTTTTCTGTTAGTTTCTCTGTTAAATGCTAACGTGGCTAGATACGGGGGTCACTCACTAATCTACCTAGATTAAAATATAATTAAATATTTTAATAATTAAAATTAAAAAAAATTAAAAAATATATATATATTAAATCTCTCTCTCTCTCTCTCCTTTCTCTCACCTCTCAATCTTCTCTGCATCCCCAAAACCCCTTCCCACCCGACCCCCCCCCCTCGATCCCCCTTCCCACCCGTCCCCCCCAACCTTCCTCCACCACCCTCTCTCTCCCCTCTCTCTCTCGCATCTCCCTTTCATCTCCATCGTAGTCTCCTTCTTCCCCACTTCTCTTTCTTGCTGTGCCCAGAACCCCCCAAACCCACCTGGATTTTTTCATTCGCCCTCCTTTCTCGGATCTACCTGCAAGCTCCGACCCGCTTCCCTCTCCCACTCCATTGCCCATCGCCGATCCGCCATTGTTACCGTCTCTGAAGCTGTCAAGGAGAAAGGGAGAGAGGGAGAGCTGTTAAGGTTGGTGTCGACGAGGTTGCCGTCTTCCCCTAACCCAAACCTAGATCCCACCCCAAACCAGCCACTCCCATTCCCACCAGGTGCCTCTTTTCTCTTCCTCCACCGTTCTCTCTACTTTTAACCTACAAGCATGCATAAAAAACAAAGCACCCACCAATCCTGAGAACACACCATTAACAAAAGTTCAAAAATCCATCTCGCAGAAGTATTCGAACCCATATGGGTAGTTTGGTAAGGAAGGGGAGGAGATCAATGGAGGGAGTGGGTACTCGAAGAGGGGTGAGGTTGGTGTGCCGGAGATCGGCGACTTCGATGTCGTCAGTTAGAATGGGGAAGAAGGTGATGGTTGTTGGTGGATGGAGTCGACGATCAAGAGGAGAGAATGGAGGGTGACTGCGAGTCGCAGTTGAAAGAAAAGTGGGTGGGGTTGTAGATAAGAGAAGGGAGAAATGGGGTGGATGGGGAATAAAAGGGGTGGATCGGATTTGGGGAAGACGGGAGGGGGAAAGGGGGTGGGTCCCCATGTAAAAAATTTTTTTAATGATTTTAATTTTTTAGTTTTTAATATTTAATTAATTTTTTAATATTTTATTTATTTATTTAAGCCACATCACTATTTAAGCCAAGCCACGTCAGCACTTAACAGAAAAACTGACAGATGTATGACATTGGCACAAATTCGTAAGATGAGGTATGACATTGTCATTTTAAAAGATGAGGTATAAAAGTGTCATGAGACCAATAGTTAAGGTAATTTTTTGTATTTTACCCTTTTATTTTTTATTAAAGGAAAACTTCAGTTATGGCCCCTAGTTCAATAAAATCTTAGATTGAAACTTTATTAGTTTGAATACCTTGATTGAAGGACAAAATGTTAAAAATCCTTCCTAAATTCATTCAAAGAGTAATACTAAATAGTAGACCTGTAAACGGGTCGGGATTATTAGATTTGGATCAGGTTTTACCCAACCCGTTAAGATAACGGGATACTCTAACCCAACTCGTTAAGTTAACGAGTCACCCAAACTCAAACCGTTAAGTTAATGGGTCACCCCTTAACATTTTTTTTTAATACTTTTGCATCCCAATACAAATTACACATATTTTAATCAATATTTCAAGCATGAGGGTCCAACACATTTAGAAAGTAACCATATAAATATAATAAATTCTTACATAGAGTAGTCAATACAAATATTATAACCCTTACAGAAGGAACTCACGAGATCAACTATATACATGCAAATATAGGATTTTGGTTGGATTCTGCAACTTCGGTATCTCCTCAACAACTCAAAAGATCAACTCTAGTTCTGATCAGTGCCCTTCAAGATTCAATACCCAACTACCCAGATCACAAATTCACATGCATATAATATCAGCTAACATACAAGTAAAAAACAG